TCCTTTAGGTTCTGTCTTTCTGGGAATAATTTGATCTCTCCTTCATACCTGATGGATAGTTTTGCTGGGTACAGTATTCTTGGTTGAAAGTTGTGTTCTTCTTGTTCTCATGGTTTCTGCTGAGAAATCAGTGCTTATTCTTATTTGTTCTCCCTTATAGTTTACTCTTTGTTTCTCTCTCGTTGCTTTTAATATTTTCTCCTTATCTTTGGTTCTAGCAAATTTGACAATGATATGCCTTGGTGTTTTTCGTTTAGGGAAACCAATTTTTAATCACTTACACAGTATTTCAATAAGCCAATGTGGCTTAGCACTCACTCTTATCTTTTGTGCAATCTTGCAAAGTTTCAAGGCATTTCACTACCTTAAGGGATCTGAAAAACAACTACATTCTTATTTAGTTTATTCTACAAATGCTAAAAGCTCCAAAAGCGGTGATGTTTACCAAAATCAGCATTCTGTATTTAATGAAACAGAGGCATTATCTGACAGCAAGATTGTAACAAAATAGATTTCAACCATACTTAGTGCAAGACTAAAGAGTAATTTCAAGGTGCATGGTTATGCAGTTTTCAGAAATCAATTGTGATAAAAGCAGGAAATATCTAAGTTAAAATTTAACTAACTCCTAAAAAAGCTGGAAGTTGGATTTAACTATTATGATTTGTTTCATATTAAAAACATCAGTCAATTCAACTATGTAGAAACAAGTATGCAAAAAGTCTGAAAAAAGAAAACATACTTATATTTAAGTAGATATATTATCTGAAATTCCAGATTATTCAATCACTTCATTATTATGCTATGGCAGCCAAGTAATCTTTAACTTCTGTTGGAGTAAGTCTCCTAAATCCAGCTTCATTGCAGATTCCAACTTCTATGTTATCCTCTGTCATTTGTCCCTCAAAGCTTTCCTTTAGAGTTAAGATGGCTGTATGGATGGCATCTTCAAGTTCAAGATCTTCATTATATTTTTTCTCCAGGAAAGTTTTTCCATTCACATAGTTCTTTCCCATTGCTGTCGCTTTCCAGGCAAAATAAGCTCCAGAAGGATCTGACGGAAATAAGTAAGGTCGTCCTTCATTCCAACTACAAATAAGTAGAGAAACTCCAAATGGACGCACACCACCTGACTGGGTATATTCTTGCATCACAGAAGCTACCCTCTGAACAAGCTGTGCTGTGGGAATGGGTTCTTGGTAAACAAGATAATACTGCTGAGCTAGCTTCCGAGCTCTGTGTACAAGTACTCTGTAATCTGGGCCCATGCCACTGTACACCAAACCAATATGCTTAGTGATTGGTTCCACTTTGTGTACACTTCGCTCATCATACAGAATGGATTTCTGTTTCTTTTCAGTTGCTAACACCACACCATTTGAAGCTTTAATTCCCACTGAAGGAGCTCCTCCAGCTACAGCAGCCAAGGCATATTCAATCTGGACAAGTTTTCCAGATGGGCTGAATGTTGTCAGCGAAAAGCTGTACCCACGTTCCGCCACTTTCACTCGGAGACCAAAGCACAATGGTCTCTACTCAATTTTCTAAGGCATTATATTGCACGGGAGGAGGTTGCTCAGCTTTCTCCCCCTGAACAGCTAGTGGGTTTGAATTTTGTGCCCTTAGGTTGGCAGTGCAGCTCTTTACCAGTAGGCCACCAGAGCTTCCTAAGAAATGTATAGATGCTTCTTAAGACTTAGGAGAAAAAGGTCCTGTAAGCACCTGGGTGGGGAAAGAACTTCTATATCAACAGGAGACCAAGTTCTTCTAAAACCCTGGAGAGGTCAATGGAAGAAAAATGAACCAGAGCTTTCTGAGGTATTTCAACTAATCCCATGGCTGGTAAACAATTCAAAATGAGTAATGTTATCCTGTTGATAGTGAGGACACGGTGGTTCTCTTAAAATCTCTGTTGTGTGTGTGATGAGGGTAGGTGATCCCCCAAGATAGTATTTGTTCTGTCTTTGTTAAGAGGGAAGCTTTGAGGGAGCTCTGGAGGTCTAGTGACAAGAAGCTGTGCTGCAATCCTGAAGGTACACAGTTCAAATCCACCAGATGTTCCACTGGAGAAAGATGGGTAGTCTCCTGTGCCAGTCAGATCTGACTCAATAGCATACAATAAAAGGGGGGGGGGGAATACATTACATACATATATATATAAAAGAGGGAAGCTTTGAAGAGCTTTCAATTTTGTTTATCTCATTAACCACTCCTGATGGTCCTAGTAGGTAAGGATAACCTAGGACTTCATCAGAAGCAATAAGATAGATTAGATAGGGAGAGAGTTTTAGTCATGTAATTAGTAGTTCAACTTTCCATTTCAGCAGAAGTATCTACCGACTAGAATACCACCCTCCATGTTCCTCTCAAGAAGGCTGAACTTTCAGGGAGAATGAGATAGATGGGGGGAGTACGGTTCACCTTAGAATTTCACCTCCAACCCCTTTCAATATCCTGTTGTTTACCATAGAGTCAGAACCAACCCATAACTGACCCTCCAGTGGGTCTTCAGAGGCAGTTAATCACATGGGAGGAGATTTCCCATCCTCCCACAGAGTGGCTGGTGGCCTCCAGTCATGTGTCTTTGGGATTGCTGCACACCTTCTGGCGACTAGGCCGCCAGAGCTCTTCAATATCCTGTAGTTGCCTTAAACTTGGCTAACCACAGCTTATGATAAGATATTGTTCTCCATGGATTGATTGTGTTATGTGTGGTCTAGATATAAGGGACTCCTAGCTGATCCTCCAGCAGGCACTCAAAGGCTGTGAACTGCAGGGGGAGATTGCTCATTTTTCTCCTGCAAAGTACATGGTGTACTCAAACCAACAGCCTTTGGGTTGGCAGTGCAATTTTTTACTACTTGGCTACCAGGTATTATTAACCCATAAATTAACTTCCTGAAAATCTAGTCTGAAGCCTAAGAAGAGGAAATAAATTCCTGCACAGAAACAAACTCTAAACCCAGACATGACTTTCTCAAGGAAAATTTAAAGTTAACTACCAGATAGAGGACTTGAAGTGAAAAACCTTGTTACACAATACGTATGCACCATCTCATAATAAGTGCTGTCTCCTACTAGATTCTCTGCTGGAGAAGGAGGAGGAATCATCTCCTGTGACAGTTGGATCTGACTCAGTGGTACACAACAAAGAAAAAAACACACGTGATGTCTCTTAACTCAGAAGCCTCTGTTAACAGTGTTCATCTTAGAGAGCCAGATGTTCATGCACTTAATTATCATAACTTCTCCAATAAGGGCCATTTCCTGGGATTTGCCACCTTCCCATATGAATAAGCATGAAACTCTCTTATCTATATCTTTATAAACCCCTAAAATAAATTTATCCAGTGAATCTTGGCTAGTTAGCATTGCTTCATACTCTGTGTTTTGCTTTGCAAAACAGTTTTCCTTTGTAAAGTACTTTCCCAAACAAACCTCTTTCCATGCTTGCATAGGAAGCCAAAAAAGCAAAATAAACATGAATCCCCAGTGATAGGAGAAAGATAAGGAAGAGGTTATTTGATTTCAATAATAAAAAAAATTATTTTGATTTGGGTAAAAGATCAGAGAAAATTAGTTTCTCCTTGTGTGATCAGCACACCACCACCAAAAAAAGGGAAGAAAAAGAGAGGTACATAAAAAACAGTCAAAACAACTATGAGATATCATCTTACCCCAGTAAGATTAGCAAAATTCAACAGAGCAGCAAACAGCAAATGCTGGAGAGGTTGTGGAGAAACTGGAACCCTTATTCATTGTTGGTGGGAGTGTACAATAGGGCAACTACTATGCAAGGCAGTATGGCGCTTTCTCAAAAAGTTAGAAATAGAAATACGATTTGACCCAGCAATTCCACTACTGGGAATACACCCTAAAGAAACCAGAACTGCCACCCAAACAGATATATGCACACCCATGTTTATTGTGGCTTTGTTTACAATAGCAAAGAGTTGGAAACAAGCCAAGTGCCCATCAACAAACGAATGGATAGAGAAGCTGTGGTATATTCACACAATGAAATACTATGCTGCATTGAAAAACAAGGAACTTATGAAATATTATACAGAATGGGTGACCCTGGAGGACATTATGCTGAGCGAAATATCTCATTCACAAAAGGACTAATACTGCATAGTGCCATTATTGTAAAATGGGACTGACATCGGGGTTGGGGGGAACCTACGAAAAGAGAGGATAAATAATGTGTACTCCATTGAAACAGATGAGGGAGAGAACTGCTTAAAAGTAATATAGGATTACATATTATTTTCATGACAAGATTACAGAAAAAGAAATGCATATTAAAGTGGACTATGGACTGGGGGGTGACTTGTATAACAATAAAAGAATTTTTTTTTCTTCAAAGAGAAAAATGAACTGTGGGGGCGGTGGGTAGGGAGGAAAATGCGCAACAATGAATGAATTGGCAAAAATTAAATAGAAAGAATATGCTGTAAAAAAAAAGAAAAAGAACACACACACACACACACCCTTCAAAGAAACACAGTAGCAGATACATAAGCAGATAGCCAAGACAGACTAGTGGAAGAGAAAACTACCAAACATAAGTTTGGCAGATGATATTTCTACATTAAGATTGTTGTTATGTACTATTGAGTTGCCTGTGACTCATAGTGACCTAAACAACCCTAAACCCTGATCTATCCTGTGCCAATCTCACTGTCTCCACCACACCTACCCTTATTACCCGAGTCACTGAATCAATCCATCTCATCGAGGGTCTTCCTCTCTTTTAAAAAAAAATTATTATTAATTTCAATGAACATTTACAGAGATTTTGGATTTCCATTTATTCATTGTTGCATATTTCTCCCTGCCCACCCCTCCCACCCAGTTCGTTCCTCTCTTTGAAAAGTAAAAGAAAAATTCCTTCACTGGTATACAATCTCCCCTCCCCTGCCCTGAGTACACTCCACTATGCAACCTTAATTCTGTACTCTTGTGATAACCATAATATATCATAAATCGCTTTTAAACTGTTCTCTCACTCATCTGTTTCAATGCAGAATACATAATTTATCCAGTTTTTCTCAGTCTTACCCCAACCCTGATGTCAGCCCCATTCTACAACTGTGGCACTATGCACTATTTGTCTGAGATATTTCACCTAGCATAATGTCCTCCAGGGTTACCCATTTTGAATAATATTGCATGAGTTCCTTGTGTTTCAATGCAGCATAGTATTCCATTGTGTGCATATACCACAGCTTCTCTATCCATTCATTTGTTGATGGGCACTTGGGTTGTTTCCAACTCCTTGTTATTGTGAACAAAGGTGTGATAAGGTGTGCATGAGGGTCTTCCTCTTTTGTGCTGTCCCTCCACCATCCCAAACATGATGTCCCTCTCCAAGGACTGATCTCATCTTGCAATATGTCCAGAGAATGTCAGACAAAGCTTCAGAAGTTTTGTCTTCAAGGATCAGCCTGGCTTCACCCTCGCTAGGACTAACCTATTTGTTCTCCTAGCAGTCTATGGTGTATTCAATACTCTCCTCCAGCACCACAACTCAAAGGCATCAATTCTCCTTCTATCATCCCTAGTCATTGTTAGCTTTCTAATGCATAACAAGTGATTGCAAAGACCATGACCTGTATCAGGTGCACTTTAGTCTCCAGACTGACATGGTTGCACTTCAGTACTTCGGAGAGGTCTCTGACAGCAGTTTTTTCCAATGCAATTAATCTTTTTAATTTCCTGGCTGCTGCGACCAAGAGTGTTGATTGTAGAGCCAAGCAAACTGAAGCTGTTGACAATCTCAATTTCTTTTCCATTCATCATGATGCTTTATTACGTAAATAAATTTGTGTAAATTGCAGAAGCCAATAAAGGGGAAAATATTCTAAGAGTCTTCCTAATAACCAAACACACTGAGTAATGAGTTGATGGTCCTAGGGCCTTGTGATTAGAGTCTTGGAGGGATATCAAGGTCAATTAGCATTGTTGTTGTTGTTATGTGCCATCAACTTGCTTGTGACTCATAGGGACCCTATGTACAAGAGCCCTAAATGCCGTTCTATCCTGTGCCAACCTCACCGTCTCAAACACACTCATTCCCACCACTCCACTCACAGAATCAATCCATCTCATTGAGGGTCTTCCTCTCCTGTGCTGTCCCTCCACTCTCCCAAACATGATGTCCCTCTCCAAGGACCAGTCCCTCCTTGCAACATGCCCAAAATATGTCAGACGAAGACTCAGAATCCTTGACTCCAAAGAGCATTTTGGCTTCACCCTCTCCAGGACAAACCTGTTTGTTCTCCAAGTAGTCCATGGTATATTCAATACTCTTCTCCAGCACCACAGCTCAAAGGCATCAATTCTCCTTTTATCATCCGTATTTACTGCCCAACTCTCGGATGCATAACATATAATTGTGAAGACTATAGCCTGGATCAGGCGCATCTTAGTCTCCAGCCTGATGTCGTTGCTCTTCAGTACTCTGGGAGGTCCCTCACAGCTGACTTTCCCAGTGCAGTTCGTCTCTTAATTTCCTGGCTGCTGCTACCAAGAATGGTGACTGTGGAACCAAGCAAACTAAAACTTAACTATCGCAATCTCTTCGAGCCTCAATACATATTGGAGGCTGCAGTCCTTGACCTTCTGCAGCAAGCACTTCAGATCCTCCTCAGTTTCAGCAAGCAGGGTTGTCACCCGCATAATGCAGGTTGTTGATAACTCTTCCATCAATCCTGATGCCACAGTCCTCCTCGTACAGCCCAGCATCTCAGATGATCTGTTCTGCCTACAGATTGAAATGGTATGGAGAAACAATACATCCCTGACGGACCCCCTTCTTGATTTTGAACCATTTAGTGTCTCCTTGCTCTGTTCTGACAACTGCCTCTTGGTCTAAGTATAGGTTTTGCATTAGCACAATCAAATGTTTTGGGATTCCCATTCTTCTCAGAGTCAGCCATAGCTTGTTGTGATCCACACAGTCAAAAGCCTTTGCATAGTCAATGAAGCACAGATAGACATTCTTCTGGTATTCTCTGCTTTCTGCCAAGATCCATCTAATATTAGCTATAATAGCCCTAGTACCACGACCTCTTCTAAATTCAGCCTGCACATCTGGCAGTTCTCTGTTGACAAATTGCTCCAATCGTTTTTATATAATTTTCAGCAGAATCTTGCTTGCATGTGATATTAATGATATTGTCAATTAGCATAGTACATAAATATAATATTCTACATCTCACTTTGGTGAGGCCAAGTATAACATAAGCTGATGGCACCGGGAGGAAATCTCTGAATGTGAATGGTGCACAAGCTCTTGGAGCCAGATACATAAAAGGGCACAAGCCTGGCCTCAGGTAGATCTGAGACAGGGCCCGGGGAACAATGGCAGCTACTTGTTGGGTGATGGGAGTGGGTTCTAATCATCCACTGAAACCTAGGAGGGTCTAGCTGCTGGTGTGGCCACTGGTGTAGTCCTAGCTTCCTGAACTGACCAGAAAGCTGCCGGCAAAAGTTACCTGTGCTTTCTACTTTGCCATTTACAATTCAACCCTCCCTGTGTCTCCTGATTTGAGGTTTCATTTTGCATCTTCTTTCTGTTGGTGTCTGAACTATTAGTCTTTTTCTTTAAACTCAGGGTTCTAAGATTGTCATCTGGATCCTTTATCTTAGTCTACTTCATTTACTTGTGTCTTAGGTAGGGTGTGACTATGCCCTGTCTCATCTACCATCTTACCCAGAAGTGCAGCATTTTGTTTTGCTTAAGGCAGTTTTTCTTTTCTCTGAAGCTGAAAGTACAAGATAATATTCTTCCTACTCTTTCTACCTGCTGTCCTTTGTAATGTCTGTTTCGTTCTAAACACGATTGTTACCACCAGACGTCAGCATTACCAATAACTGCATTGCCTCTAATGTGACCCTGTCAGTCCCCAGTGCATTCTTTTTTCTAAATGAAATCTTTTATATTTAGATTTATGTTATTCCTGGTAATAAATAATACATGCCCAATGAAAATCAAAAGCTGGAAAAGCAGTTATACTTCTTGAGTGGACAGTTACAACAATCATTTTCTGAAATGACCACATTTCATTTTATCATGAACTACTCTGAACTTACTATGAGATGTAGTCAAAGTTGGAAGAGAAGAAGTAGGGAGAACATTCATTTTTTCGGAGAGAAAGCTCTCCAGAATCAGCATTGTACATAAACATATCCTGTTGAAGAATTCTAGGTGGAACAAAATTTATGTAGTCACTTTCAACGCATACTGAGCTGACTTAATTTGTTCGTTAAGTTGTTTAGTGTCATTCTTCTAAATCAAGTGTGTTTAATTCTTCTTCTAGCTCATCCAAATCTACCCCAGTAAACAGATTTTCATCACCAGGAACAGCATTAATGGCTCCATTTTCCTGTACCTCTCCTTCGTTGTCCTCTTCCAAATCACTTCTTTCCCCATTTTCAGCC